GAATCTCCAGAGGGAGGTTGTTCCAGAGGCGAGGCGCCACTGCCAAGAAGGCCTGATTTCGTGTCTTTTCCTTCCGGGCCTCCCTCAGCGTCAGGCCCCTCAGCCTCACCTCCTGACTTGCACGGCGATCCGGGTAGATCTTTTATTTATTTATTTTATATATTTATTTATTTATTGTATTTATACCCTGCCTATCTAATCATTTCGACCACTCTAAATATCCACCCTCCCCCAGTTTAGTGCTATATTGCCAAATGGATACAGGATTACAGTAATTCAAATGTTTGCCATGTCTTGTTGATTCAGCACTATTTCTCTTGCTAAACATTACAGTATTTTTTTTAAAAAAAGAAGTTATCAAAATGCTGGTAAAAGGACTTGGTAAGCTGATGGTGATAATGGCAGAGCGGGTTGAGGGAGAATAAGGTTGTGCAATGTAGATACTTGAAACACACTTTCCGTGTGAACAGCAACAGTAATTTAAATGCCAGGGTGCAGTATGGAAAAATTCTTATTAACCTGGGGCAACTTGGGTTTGTATGGTTATGCCCTAACACGGCTGCTTCTTTGGAAACCGGTGATGTCAGTGGCAGTAACTTGCTGGGAGGCTGAGTAAATCACAGTGTGGTTTTCTCCTCTTAACTCAAGTTATACCCAGTGAAGGGATTTTTTTTTTTTGCATTAGGATATATGTAATGGTGAACAATTGTATATACCAGGGTGGGCAAATCTGGTGGGGTAGGCAGAATTTTACCACCACCCCCAGCATCCTGAAAGGTAGCAGCAGCAGTCCCGAAGGAAGGAAGGAAGGAAGGAAGGAAGGAAGGAAGGAAGGAAGGAAGAGGCAAGAAAGGAAGAAAGGAAGGAAGGAAGGAAGGAAGGAAGGAAAATGACCAGATATCCTTTACCAATTTGATTTGGGGAGAGTGAGTGGGTTTTTAAAGCCTAGAAACGTCCTGCTCTCTCTGTAAAAAACAAACCAACCACCCTTCCTGCATGGGGTGAAGCTAAAAAACCTTAACTCCTCAAATTCAAGACTGTCTCCAGGAGGGGAAAAACACCTTTCCCCACTTAATTTTTTCCTGCACCAGTGAGATCAGGACAGTTCCATGGAGCCCACTTATCATGTGCATTTAT